TCCGCAGACATGCCGCTGTGCCACTGAGGGGCAACGAGATAATAACACACACATCAAACCACACATTTTCCGTACCCTACAAGACGAGGTGAGTTGTTATCTGTTTGAAGACGTAGTTGCTGAAGACGATTTTTTAAATCTCAGAACCGGTAGTTATTTTTTTCAATATTTATTATTAAAACACCAATCTTGTCAGAGTTGTTGTTGTCAGAACTGAACATTACAAAACGGACCATGAAACCGTCAGTTATTTACATCAAATCAAAGCCAACATCATCATTAGAATGACATCCAAAGGACACCAATGTTGTTGTTTTTTTTCTTTTTGAAACATTTAGAGCTATTTGTAAAACTTTTGGGACTTTTAGAGAAGACTTGAAACATAAATAAATTTTTGCGCCTCTGGAGATACTGAGAATGTTAAAAAGCTTTTGAAAAGCTGGTTTGTTACATGAATGTTCTTGAAAATTTTCAACAGAGTTTGAACACCTTTTCCAGTTATCCATATCTACCAGTGAAATCCTACATACCGAATGTCAAGATTTACTGTAAAAACATGTATAAAAAATGGAGTATTTTGTGGTACGATTATTACGCTAATTAAGCTATGGAGCTACTTAATGTGAGCATTAGTGTTACAAATCGCATGTGTATATTTTACAAATATAATTATTCTTAAGTAGTTTGGAAGAGGAAGAGGTTAGGTCTGGTAAACAGCAGAATACGAGTTTCATGGTGTTGTTTTTTTTTTAATTAAGTAAAGTGATTATTGTATTCATTGTTCCCACACTAAGTAATAGGTAGACGGAAAAATAATATGTTTTATAATTTTTAATTTATTTTGATGAAAAATTGGGACAAGTTGTTAGTAGTCATTTTTATATTAAATTTAAATTTCAAATTAATTAGCACTTTTGCTACTAGGTGGATCGTCAGGATGTTTTTCAATTAAACCACCAGCAGGATAAAAAAAATAAAGATTAGAAAGTGAGCTCCAGAGAGCAAACTAGTCACTCGGTAAACTAATAAATATATTCTAACTTCACTAATAAACATTCGTACAAAACTCGTGCTACAGAACTAACAGACGGATAAACACAAATACTCGTCGACTACAGAATGCAATTCCTTGACCACTATCTAGAATAATCATTCCTCTCAATGAAAACTTGGTAGAAACCAGTAGTTTCTTTCAGGACAAAAACTATAATCCATCTTCCTTATTAACCACTAATACTATTTCCCACAGTACAAAGGGAACAGATCTTTCGATAACATGAAAAAGAAAACCTAATGAATTGCTTCCGCTGTACTTCGAATGTCACGTGTAGCTTCTGTCTAGCTCTGAAGAACGTAATACTTCACATCTTAAGACTCTTTCAACAGAAGCATCTAAATATAACTAAAGTAGCTGTCACGTGAGCAGAGTTGTTGTTGTCACAACTGAATATTACGAAACGGACTATAGTGCAAGTAGTTTTTTTCTCAAACTCACAAAGCTTCGCTGAGATAAGAGTTCAGTTTGTGTGACAGGAGCTGGAAAGAATGTGGTTATAGGTTTAACTGCTCCTGTTTAGAAAACGTCTAATGGGTTACGTTTGAACGTTATTAGTCCCTACATCCACCAACAAGATCGGTAAAAAACTGAAAGGTGTGTTTTAAACAACCATGCCGACCAGCAACAGGAATTCGGAAGCAGACGCTACCAACGCAAGACGAGCTCCTCTGGCGTCCATCTCTGATTGCGAGGCTCCGCCGGACAAGGGGCTTATAGAAAGGGAGGTAATAATTTTTACGATTTAAGAATTGTTTGCTTAGCCTCAATACTAATGTAAAACACCAATTTTCAAAGTACATATACTGTATGAATCTATTTTTATTTATTTCAAAGCAAAAGTTATTCATGAAAATTATCTCTCCACGTTCGTTTGAGATATGGACGAATGATAATGAACCTATTAAATATTATCTATTTTGATATGGACTTGTAATAATAGATGTATAAAGAATTGTCTGTTTACGAGATTGGATTATTCAGGAAATAAATTCTGTATCAAATTAGAAGATAACCCTTGAGACTTTGCCCAGAACTTGTTATTTCTTGATAATACTTTACTATGTTGAACATTTGTGTCTCGGAGTGTAAAATGCTAAGAGAGTGTCACTCTGTCATAAATATATTCATTATTTTTATTTAATAACGTATTTTAGTACTAATGAAGATGTGTGTGATGTCGGCTACAGGAGACTTAAAGTCCAACCTGTATTTCGTCTTCTCAAAACATTAATTTTAAATGCTCAGTGACAAGCCCGAGGGCTTATAACGCTAAAAATTGGGTTTCGACACTCGCAGCTCAGATGGCCCATTGCGTAGCTTTGTGATTAACAAAAAATATAAAAGTTAACTTTCAATGATGAAAATCGGTTTTTATATAAATATACTTTTTTTTTACTTTTGGGTTTTAATTTTATGTTAGTAAAAACTGAGTGGCTAATAAAAAGTAAATATTGATTTCTATTGCAATTGTGAAATTAAAATTAATCCTTGTAGTAAACACCTGATATATATTAGTATAAAAAAACAACAGTCCCCTGGACAGTCGGCGTTAAGTTTCCGAACTTAAAACGCTAAAATTCGGGATTCAATTCCCGCGGTGGATATAACAGATTGCAAAATATAACTTTGCTTTAAAAGAAATAAGGTCTCCCGGTAAGACAGCGGTATATCTACGAACTTAAACGTTAAATATGGGGTCCGATTCCTCGCGGTGGACACAGCAGATAATCTAATGTGGCTTTGGTCTAAAAATATACAAACAAACAAACAGAAAACGACTTCAGTTGTAATGTAAATAAACCTAACTGTACGTGTGAATTCTCTTTAGTGTTAACATTTCCTTATATTTGCAGCTGTTTAATGTTGAAATATAATAAAAATAATACAACGAGAGTGTTCCATATCCGTGGAGATTTCTATTAAAAAAGTTGCGTTGTTGTTAGGAGTTCTACAAATACGATAGCATCTGCTTAGCTTCTAAACCTTTAACATTTCTTTTGTTTTTGACAATAAGTACCACTTTTGACCTTATTAAACTTTCAAAACACACTCGAGCAAAAGTATACCAGTTGCATGGCTACAAACATATTTTTCAGCTTCTACCTGTCCTTAATATTTGTCTAATCGCCGTTCTCCAAACTGTTATAGGAAACAACAAAATGCGAGCCTTGTACTGGCCTTTTTACACTTAATGGCAGGCGTTCCCGGGACTGTCGATGTTCTATTGATCCATTACGTTCGTAGCCAAAGTTAAATGTCATGGTTAGAGTAGATAAAAAAAAGTCATTTCCTTATACAAACATTGACAAACAAGTGTAATCTATCAAAAAACTAGAAACATTACGGTAACCAGAGCCAATATTCTAATGAAGTCAATCTTAGAATTCAAGCTATAGCTGCCATTTATACAACCGAGGATATGGCCTCATAGCTAGTTACGGCATTGGTCAGAAAATATATTACTAGTAAATATACATTGCACAAAATATATTTTTACAACTCATATTTCACTTCCTTATGATCATCACAAACAGCATGGCCAGACTGGCGCCGATCTTCCATGTTTATAATGAGAGTGCCAATAAGGTCAGATATCCTCTACCACTTATATCAAAGAGCTGTCATTAAATACCAAGAGCATCCTTTATACATACTCCATGGGACTGATGTCTGGTGAGCGTTCAGTCTATTCCATTCGGTCAAATCCATCCCCTTCAAAGAATTGTCAACCAGTTTAGCATGGTGGAGCAAATATTATTATTCATTAGGCACCAGCAAACTTAGCATAAAGGGTCATAGATAGTGGTCGTTACACAGTGAGGCATTTCACCAGTTGTAAAAATCGGTACGTTCACCAACTTAAAGGCTTATTTCATGCGCACATTATACTTCACCACCGCCAGATTCAACAAGTTCCTGTTTGAAAATTATCTTGGAAGTGATTCTTTCCAAACGGAACTCTGTTATCTGGGTGAAGCGTGACTCCCCTGCAAAAAGAGATTTGTTCTACTGTTCTTTTGTACCATTTCAACTGTTTTGCGTCGAGCTGAATGCACTTCATTGGGAGTCTGGCATGCAGGCTGGTCTTATGTCTATTTCTGTCTTTATACACTGACATGGCGTCCATTTGTGCGATTTTAAAACCTTAGATCAAAAGTTTAGTGTTTTTTTCTTTTACTAACAAATCATCACAGTTAGGATTAATGTTAATCTAACATAGTTCCACACAACATTGTAACAACTAACAATAATTGCCTAAATACAGTACAATACATAACAATGAATACTTAAATACATTTATTGTTATGTATTGCACTGTATTTAGGTACCCAATACACTCTATTTGGGCAGTTATTGTTAGCTCTTACTCCATATTCATTGTTATGTATTACACTGTATTTAAGTATTTATTGTTATGTATTGCACTGTATTTAGGCATTTATTGTTATGTATTGCACTGTATTTAGGTACCTAATACACTCTATTTGGGCAGTTATTGTTAGCTCTTACTCCATATTCATTGTTATGTATTACACTACCTAAATACAGAGTAATACATAACAATAAATGCCTAAATACAGTGCAATACATAACAATAAATGCCTAAATACAGTTCAATACATAACGAAAAATTCTTACAAATAGTGTAACATATAATAGTAAATACCTAAATCAAGTGTAATAAATACTAATAAGTGCCTAAATACAGTGACACACAACGACTAATTAGAGAGCAGTATCTATAAGTGTATCCAACAATACTATAATGTTTCGCAAATAAACAGCAGCCTTTAGTTTCAGATGAGAAAACGGTCTTTTATTTGTAAATAAACAAAATAAATTGAAATAAATAAAACATAACAATTTTACCTCATATGACTAATAAAGGTATATTTTATTTTTATACATAGATGAAAAAAACACCTAAATCTTAATAATAAAAAAAGTTGTTTTATCTGAAGCTGTAATTGGAATTGAAATAACCTTTGTATGTAAATACATCTAAAGCTCGATTTTTTGGGAAAATATACAAGATATTCCATTACGTACTGTGTAATGTTTCCTTTGCTACATGATGCTAACGAAGAGTTATTGTGACAAATTTTTGTAACATGTATGTTTTTTTTAAATTTCTAAGTCATGCTACAGATAACACCACCATAATCAAGCACGTTAAAATGATAAACACGGTGATAAGAAATAACTTATGAAAATATAAAGTATTAAATGAATAAAATTATTACAATAGATTAAAAATTAACCTCTCTTATACCGATAAGGTAATTATTATGTGTAAGACAGTTGGAGGCAGAAATGTCGTTTTCCTGTTGTTTGTGTTTTTTATAATATTTTCATTTTGTTTTAATTCATTTAATTTAGCGTTGAGTGTTTCCGCCTATCCTTAATCGACTTGTTATTACATAGGCCAATTTACATATTTATTACAAATATAAAGCAAGATTGAAATATCAAGATAACGCGTTGAAGATCATAAACAACATAGGTACACTCAAAATTTGTAACTTTGCAAATGTGTGTGTGAATATATATATATCTGCTTTAAAACTGCAAATGTGTGTGTATGTATGTATATATATATATATGCTTTAAAACTGCAAATGTGTGTGTATGTATGTATATACACACACACACTCCTAGAACTACTTACTGAGATGGATGGATGGCGCAAACACAAGCTCAAGAATTAAGTCCTTCAAAGAGCTTGACATACTTTCATAAAAGAGATTTTTGTTTTTCTGAATGTTGGCTATTCAGTTATTTTATTATAATTATTTGATCATGACTTGGAAAGTTACCAAAATTTTTGAAGAAAAGCCTACTTGCATAAAGCACGTGGTTTTTTTTCTAGAGCGCTATGATTGATTCAAAGAAACGCCACGTGGACGCACAAGTAGGGGAATAAATTAATCTCCCTGAAAACCCAAACCTCTACACGTGAATGAATGGCGTCTCAGAAATTGTGATAAACAACAGGAGTCTATATTCTCATGTCTTAATAGAACAAACCACGATCGTGTGCTTTAATACATGCACTTGAAACATGAGGGTAGGCTGACGTATCATTGGTCATTCACTGGCAAGTTTCTTAAAAAAATAAGGAAAGAAAAAAAAACTAAAAGTCAACGAGAAACCCGTACTTTTTGAAATGTTGAAAAAATAAAGTACAGTAGTTGGTAAAACAGCAGGTTTGGCCTGTTGCCACTTTTCGGCTGAAATATAATCAAAACGTTAAAGTTTTAGGTTATATAAATAGATTTTGGGTATTTTGCGTCACCTTTTAAAGCACTGTAGCCTTGCTGGCAATACTACATAAAAATAACCAACAAAAATACACAATAAATAAAATTACAATAGAGAAAGATAGTGAATATAACATAAGGATACCACAAATATTGAGTTATTTAATTCACCTTCACTTGACATAGTCTTTGGTAAGAGCCACGATTTGTATTTAATTTTTTGCCTGGTAAAGAAAAAAAATTGGCAAGACGAAAGGAAAGATGCACTTATATATATATATAATTTTGCGTTCATGTTTTTAAATTTATTACTTAAGTATTGTTACGTCTCCGTTTGTTAATTGATTTTCCGTAACTTCGTTCCGACGAAACT